AGCCAGGATGCTCTGCGCATAACGACTGATGTAGCTGTCGTCCGTGCTGCCGCGTCAGCTGTATCCAGAGCAATATGTAAGGCTGTTCCGGAGGCTGCGTAGCCCTCTTTTATAACAGCCTTCAGAATGTCTCGTTTTGTCTCTGGAATATGTTGAAGCAATGGCACAAGCTTGGCGTAGTTGTCGAAGTTGTGATTCGCCAGCAGTGCGGAATAATTGGCCATTCGTAATGTGAGTGTTGCCGAGGAATAAACTTTACATCCGAACAAATCGAGACGCTTACTATCCCTGTCTGCGGCAGTAGGCTTGTGCTGTGGCATCTTTGCCTTTTGCTGAACTGCATCCACAACCAGGGAGTTAGGTTGTGGGTGCGTGAAAAGGAATTCCATCCCTTTGGTGGGGACAAAATACTTTTTATCCGCCTTCTTATTTGTTGGCGGGGCGGATGCAGGGGACTGCCAAATGTCGTCCCAATTTCGAGAATGGCCGCATCCAGTGGCAACGAGATCTTTGGTTGGTGAGTGTGCTTGATATTGCGAAGGAGATGGTGTTGTTTTTGCTCCACGTCGCCCAACTGTACGTTTTAACTCTCCGCTAGAGGGAGTTGGTGGTCTTGAGGGGGCAGAAGAAGAATGGTGTTTTTGCACGAGATGGGTTTGCGGAGACCGGCGTTGATGATAGGATGACCTATGATGATAATAGGGGGACGTGGAACGACGGGATCTCATCGAGTATCCTGAATGGGTTGAAAGCTGTGGTGATCTTGGTGATCGCGACCTCTCTCTATAATATGTGCTACGACTGGGTAAGCGAGGATCATGGTGGTAAGAATGACCGGAACGTGGTGAGATTTTGCCGGTACGAGAGTACTCGGAGTACGGTGGAGATGGGGAGCGTACTTCGGGAGAGAACTCAGGGCTCGGTGATGAGGAAGACAATCTCCTGGGTGTATGGACCGGTGGTGCTAGCAAATGTTCCGGTAGAGAGGAAGCCGGGGTGGAAATGACCGAGTGCAGGATTATTTCCACTGGCATTGGAGGAATCCGTGCCGAGGTGGTTCCCGTTGCCGTTGTTGATTGTCTCGGTACCGGTGATTGCCTGCGCTCCATAGATCGACTCAAAGAAGAAGGTGAACGTCCTTCTGATGGATGCCTGTGGTGAGACGATCCTTTCGGTGCTGGAGGACGACTCGGTGCCAGCACGGTCGAAGACGGGGAGCACACCGGTGCCGATGACCATTGAGGCTCTTGTTGTTTGGTGGGAGGTGGAGGTCGATTCGGTGCCGACAGAGTAGGATGGGAAGGATGCTCGGGAGTTCCTGAGCGCCGTCTTGTTAGAGGTCTAGCCTGAGGTGGTGCCGAAGTGGGGTCGTGCACTGGAGGATGACTAGTCTCCGCCGGTCGTTTGGGCGCGCCCTTCGGTGCTGGTGAGTGTCCCGGTGCAGGTGAGCGCCTCAGTGCCAGAGAGCGTCTCAATGGTGGAGAGACTCTCGGTGCCGGTGAGCGTCTCGGTGCTGGAGAGCGACTACGCGCCTGAGAGCGTCTCGTTGTCGGGGAGCGTCTCGGTGCCGGGGAGTGTCTCGGGGCCAGGGAGGGGCTGGGGGGCGGGGGGGGGGT